GAGCTTTAAATACAGATAAAGCTTCATTCACTTCACCCCTCACCTCTTACTGAGTGCAGTTTCTAGCAGTCCACAGACTGGTACCGTTCCCTGGCCCCAGAACTGGGGACCGCACAGTTAAAGGCAAGTGTAGTGTAACTGTTCATTTGCTATTATACATCTAGAAATAATGATAATTATGAAGCCTTTGAGTAAGAAGAACCCAGTATGATTACGAAAGAAACTTTTATAATGGAAAATAGTTTGGCCTGAAAGTCACTTGAAAAAGAACCTCTATATAACTCCTTGTCATTGGTACAATCATTTGAAAATGGAAATGATTAAACTGTGTGTTTTTATGACATCTGTAAGATTAAATTCTAATGTTCATGAATAGTATTTTGAAAATAGAAGAGGGAGGAAAAGCTTGAATCCTTAAATGTGTTTGCACTATAAAGAATTATTTTTGAAATATATGTGGAACTTTTATCCTGAAATATATTCAAAGCATCTTCTATTTATACTTTGTAATAAAAGTCTTTTCTATTAACTTACCCTGTCTGAGTTCACAAATCTCAGAGTCTACTAGAAAAACAGATATAACAATTAGTTGTAAGCTATAAATAGATGTTCCACTACAACTTAATATAAGAAACAACTTCACCATCAAAGCTAAAGTCTTATTTCACATTCCTTCTTCATTGCTACAATTTGTTATGGCAAAATACTTTTTAAAAATTAAGCCATTATTATTTGTCAGTATGTAATAATTTGCATAATTCTCATGGGTAGGCTTGAGTTTTACATTCATCATTTTCTAGCAGAGAAACAAGCTTGAAAAATAATTCTTGGTGGTGAGAATTTTAACAGCAAAATTTCCTTTCACTTAAGTTGAATAAGTTCTCATCTTCATAGACCATATATGAAAATGTCATGTCTTTCCATTACCAAATTGTAAAAGAAAAGAATGTTAAAAATCTGATTTCAAAGTTTTGAAAACTAAAGTCCTATGAATATTATTGTACAGTAATTAATAGTTATAATTCAGTAGTTGTAGCTTTACATATTGTCACTACAAATAGTCATATACAACTTTTATTAATATGTAAATTATAATTTAGAATATACTTAAGTAATCACGTTTAGCCTTTAACATATTAAGTGCTCTGTATTAATTAGAAACATCTTAAATACCAAAAATAAGTCATGGGAGAGTTTCTTTGGGTAGATAAAACTTTTCTATTTAATAATTAAAATTTAAAGAATAATTTCTTTGATTCTAAATTATCAACCTAATTTTAGTGAGATTAGTTAAAAATTAATTACTGTGGGTAGTGCCCATAGCTCAAAGAGTAGGGCTCTGGCCGCATACACCCTGGCTGGCAGGTTCCAACCTGGCTCCGGCCAGCTAAACAACAATGACAACTGCAACAAAAAATAGTCGGGCATTGTGGCAGGCCCCTGTAGTCCCAGCTGCTTGGGAGGCTGAGGCAAGAGAATTGCTTAAGCCCAAGAGTCTAAGGTTGCTGTGAGCTATGACCCCACAGCACTCTACCAAGGGTGACATAGTGAGAATCTGTCCTCTCCCCCCCAAAAAATTAATTACCGTGGGCTTTTGCTTGTACATAAGCACCTGTGCAAAATTTAGTCTATAATATGTGTATATTAAAATGAGTTGCACTTTATTGATTTCCTATATCAGTTCAACAAAGGGTGTATATTCATACACAACAGATAATTCCTTATAGTGTTGTTTGAGAAACAGTTATCATGGTGTTACCATTTCTTGTCTATTTCCATTTGAGCAAAAATATGTGTATATTTAGATTTATTTTAGGTATATTCTTCTAAGGATAGAAAGGCCTAACTACATTTGTAGTAGCTACTGCTTTTTAAAATGACGTTTTTATCAATGTTTGATGTTATGTTTTAATGTCCCTATTATAAGATTCTCACTAGGGAGAAATGATAATATTATAATGCCAGTCAATTCTTTATAATTGTGTTATTTTAAAATTTATGAAGCCCATAGTTTTAGACTCAAAAACTGCACTTTTAAGTATTTATTTCTTTATTTTCTGAAGTGGAATTCGAGTAAACTTTGTCCTCACTGAGTGTATTTGACTAAACATCCGCTATAAGTGAGGAATATAAATGATGGTAGTGCTATGAAGCTTCTGGTCATTAGCATTTTGCTTGAAATAAACACGTGGAACAATTTGCTCACAGGTTGGTGTAAAGTCATAGTGTATAAAATTAGGCTTTTCATTTATTCCTTAATTTTATTTTAAATGATAATTATGAATGAAAGATGGGACAATACAGGGTAACCAATATAGCATTTTGCATTAATTAGAAAAGTCTTCCTTATCAGAAAAAAAAATGTCATGGAAGAGATCTTAGAGTATGGAAAAACCTGTTGAAGCAAGACAGAGACCCCAGAATCCATCATTGAAAACCTTAAAAAATTTAACAAGTAAAATTAGTACATATGCCAGAAATACCCTTAGTTAAATAGATAAATGAAACTATTTGCAAAACGCATCATAGACTCAGTACTGTAAGTTTCTTAGTATATAAAGAGCATGTAAATTCAGTGAGAAAAGAGTGATAAAGTAGTAGAAAAATGGGTAAACAACTCTGATAAACAATTCTCAGAAAAAATAACAAAGAAGATTTAAACATAGAAAAAGTTACCCAACTTCACTTATAATTTAAAAATACATATTAAAAACTTGTAAAATACCACTTATCAAATTGATAGTTCTGTGTATTATAAAATAATGTGTAATAGCATGAAAAAAAAATAATCTTAAATCTCCAGCAATAGGGTCTGAATAAACAAATTATATTACATTTATAAAATGGATTTAGATACACTTTGGAATTTGAAAATTATGATAGTATGGTTGCTTTTGAGACAGGGATTGAGGGATTGTGAGCCTTAGGTAGAAATGGATTGAATATTTTGGGTTAGGGGAGATGGAGTCTTACTCTGTCGCCCCCACTGGAGTACAGTGGCATTATCATAGCTCTCTGCACCCTCAAATTCCTGGGCTCAAGCAGTTATCCTGCCTTATCATCAGGAGTAGCTGGAACTACAGGCCACCATGCCCAGCTAATTTTTCTACTTTTTGTAAAGACAGGGTCTTGCTCTTGCTCAGGTTGGTCTCGAAATCCTGGCCTGAAGCAATCTTCCCACCCCAGTCTCCCAGAGTGCTAGGGTCACAGGTGTGAGCTATAGAACCTAACCCTTAATCCTTATTTTTTTATCTTTTATGTTCTTTGATTCTTCTTTATTATGTCTGTTGCTTCTTTAAACATAAAAAACAAGTTTAAAGCAATAAAATTTTTAATCAGTGGGGTGAAACCTCTCAGTGAATACTGCTTAACATCTCCTATATACCCACAAAGTTCATGAACTGATTAAGGATGTAAAGGTGGAAAAAATGTTGTCCCTGTTCTTCTCAATATTCAGTAAGGGAGTATAGGGTGAAACTTGATGTAGCTTCTCCTCTATTAAATGTGAGTCCAGGGAGGATGTCTATCCTTTTGTAGATCTCAGAGTAGTTTACATACCAAAGGTTAAGTGAGCTTCACCAAAACCTTATGAAATGGAGCACAATATGCCCAGAGAAAAATAAAAGATATTTATGTTTAAAAAATGTATATTTGCCTATATTTACTCATTTAATGCTCACATGAAGCCTACGAAGTGGATACCTTTATCATCTACACTTAAAAGACAACAGAGTGGATCTAAGTTCCTTAAGATGCTTAAGAAATTAAAGCTGTTCACTTTAACAGATAAACTATTGTGCTCAAACTTTATTCAGTAATCTGAACTGATGTCCACTTTAAAAACAAAAGATACAAGATTCAGAGATTAAATAATTAGTTCAAAATTATACTGTTGGTACTCTTGCACCACATTGCCTCCAGCTAATAAAGGGCACAGTCCGGAAAGGGGCAGAGGAAGAGCCATTTTCAAGCCCTCTCTCCAGTGATAAGTAATAACAAATCACAGAATGTGCGGTTTCTCTAAGAAAACACTGGCAATGAAAAAAACCTTGCTTCCTTTTTATGAAAATATTTCCTCTATTCATGTAGTACCGAATAACTTGTTTTGCTCAGTAACTTTGATACGATTTCTTAAGAAATTTTCAAGATTACTTGATAAAATACTCATACTCACTTAAAGCTTGCGTCTGCTTTGTGAAAAGACTCTGTCAGCAATGCAGAAATGAGGGCAGTGCTAACAAAATTCCAACTTTTCTGTGGGATGATCCAAAAACAGCAAACAGAAGGCATTAAATTTCTTAACAGTCGCAAGTGTGTACACGCATGCTATGCCATGCCTGTCATTAGCCGCTGTTTGGTCTGCATAGATTAGAGTTAGGATACTTTGATTTGCAAACTAGTATGTTCCATAGAGAATTTCTTTATATAGGAAAAAAAAAAGCAGAATAACTTATGAGCATGTGAGCTCTGTGTGCCCTGCTGTACGTTTGTACAGCGCTTAACTGGATGTATGTGTTTAGTCTGATTTTAGAACATTTGCTGTGACCGTGTGTCTCCTCATAAGCCAAAGACATTTGCTGGATTAAGGTCCAGAGTCGTTTCTCTTGCTCCATTCAGCAACAGGTTTACACAAATATTCTGATGTGAAACAGAGAATATGAAGTGTATAGAGAGATTGTTAAAGTAAGAAGGCATAACTCAGTGAGTTAAGCAATATTTAATTTGTCTCTTCTGTAATCCTATCTTAGTTGTAGTAGCCTAAGTGACAAACTCCAAATCCCATGTCAGAATTATTTAAAGATTTGCTTAAAAAGTAATTACTTGAGTTAAAGAAATAAATGTGTGAAGAAATAAGGGGTCATTCTGTTTATCTAGAGCTTTCCCGAGTCATCCTTTCATGCATCCCATTCACCTACATATCCTAAAGCACACTGTGCACACATATTGACATGGCATTTGGTGATGGACTAAGTATATTTAATTTTTTTTTCACATTACAGCAAATTCAGTAAAGCTAGAAATGCAGAGTGATGAAGAGTGTGACAGGAAACCCCTGAGCCGCGAAGACGAGATCAGGGGCCATGATGAGGGGAGCAGCCTAGAAGAACCCCTAATTGAGAGCAGCGAGATGGCCGACAGCAGGAAAGTCCAGGAGCTTCAAGGCGAGGGAGGAATCCGGCTTCCGAATGGTAAACTGAAATGTGACGTCTGTGGCATGGTTTGCATTGGGCCCAATGTGCTTATGGTACATAAAAGGAGTCACACTGGTAAGCAGCTGAAAGAATAACTGATGACTGCCTGTGACATCTGATGTTGATATTACCTGACATCTATTCTCTTTCCTTTTTATTCAGGGGTGGCAATGGTGAAACTACCTTTTCAGAATTCTGCTAGTATTGGATTGCAGAAAAACAGAGAGTAGCCTGGGTCTTGACTTCCAGCCTTCAAATCTGAATAACATATCAGAAAAGAAGTTTGGGATTCAGTTTCCACAGTTCTTAATATAGCAATAATATGATAAGGGTTCACAAGGTATAGGAGAATTTCATTGTGTAACTTAATCTTTTTGTATTTCTATTTTACCATACCCATGGGCAGGTAATATAGTTTGGTAGCTAAGAGTTGATACTACAAAATGGCACTCATGCAGTTACATAGGACTGAGTCATTTTCACTTTACCAAGTTAATTCCTTGGAAGAGAATTTCTAATCAATCTTTGCATGCCATAGGTCTTGGTAGTAGACAGGTACTTTTTGTAGTTCAAGGATGTTATTACTTTCCTGTGATTTTTGGCTGTAACTCCTGCAAGGAGGTAGGCAAGATTGAATATGACAAAGGGTGGAAACATACAACTGAAAATGTATGATCCAGAATAGGGTTAGGAAAAAGCCCTCAGATTAATTTAATGCATATTTTTAGACATTTGAGTGGTGGAAACTCCTTCATGAAAACCAACCAAATTCTTTGCCAAAATTAAAAAAAAAAAAAAAGCAACAGAAATGATATTATGGTAGGAAAGGAGGATTGTTGATTCTTTGAAAAAAAAAGACAGTTTAAAGCTCATATAAAAGTTAATTTAAAAACAGTAGCAAAAAAAAATAATAAAAAGGGTAGCTTTGACCAGAATGCAAAGTAGTAATATATTATAAAATATTACTAACTAGTATTCTTAGTTTTAAAATATAATCATTTGAAGAGAGATAAATCACAATAACAATTTACTTTAAGTTTTTATTTCTGAATATTATGGTTAATAATCAGGTGCTTCAAACTTGAAAGATAAAAGTATATTGAATTTTTTTGAGTCCAAATCTCTCATTTTATCAAGTTATCTGTCCATTATCCCTTATGTAGATAAGGGCATTTTTGAGGCTGCCCTTTTCTAATGCTCAGACTGGTTTAGTTCAATCACACCAACCTTGATGAGTCAATATACCAATGATTTATTAACAGGTATGACCCAGGCTAATATTTTAAAAATTACAGTGAGAAGTTACACATTAAAATTATTATATTAATAATCAAAATCATCAGCTTTACAACATATACACTTATTCCAACCATGATGTCAGTTACACTTTGCTTTTTGGTTATTTTTTAAATTTTCTTTTTAAATAGCACTGTTTTAAAAATATTTATGAATATAAACATTTTTCTTTCATTTTTAAAAATATCTTAGGAAAGGCTGAAATACCAACCTTGGTATCTATTAGATAAGAAAAAATAGAAATTGGGGCGGCACCTGTGGTTCAGTGAGTAGGGTGCCAGCCCTATATACCGAGGGTGGCGGGTTCAAACCCAGCCCTGGCCAAACTGTAACAAAAAATAGCTGAGTGTTGTGGTGGGCACTTGTAGTCCCAGCTACTCAGGAGGCTGAGGCAAGAGAATTGCCGAAGCTCAAGAGCTGGAGGTTGCTGTGAGCTGTGATGCCATAGCACTCTACAGAGGGTGACAAAGTGAGAGTCTGTCTCTAAAATAAAAAGAAAAAAAATAGAAATTATTATAAAATGATCTACTTTTTATCTATACTTACAAAGTAATCCTAACTATAGTTCTGACAAGTGAGTTCCACAGGCTATAATACATACAGTGTATCAGAGTGATTATATTGGGAAGATAACACCCATTCAAATGTGTGACTTCTATTGAAATACAAACTAAACAAGATCAGTCTAATGACTTTTCACTTGAGTTGTATACAGTGCCTATTTTAAGACTGAATAATATATACTAAAAACAATTTTTTGAAAATTTTTAGTAAACCTTTTATGTTCTGAGTTAAGAAAATTCAGTAAACCAGAATATCTTTTTTTTGGTAAGGATTAGCTTGGAAGTTTTTCAACTATTTTAAAATTATTTTTTAATTTTAGAATATTACGAAGGTACAAATGTTTTGGTTACATTAAATGCTTTTGCACAGCTTGAGTCAAAGTCGTCAGTGTGTCCCTCTCCTGTAGTGTGCATTGTACCTGTTAGGTGTAAATCTACCCTTCCTCTCCTGCCCCCTCCCACCTCCTTGCTTTCCATTGAGTTCTCAGAGTACTCTTTCTTGAAAATTAATCAATGTTTTGCTGTTTTTATGGAGATATTCATGAGGACTGTTAGTGTATGAATACAATTACAATTAAGATACCTTTTCTACTGTCCATTTGCTATTGACTATGGTGGGAAAGTTGAATTATTTTGATTTCTGAAAATAATATTTGGCATGAAAAATGTTTATAGTAGTTATACAGAGTTCCATAGCCCTGGAATATAACCCAAGGAGTATGACCTAAAAGAACCGTTTAAAGTACACTTGCAAGACTATGAACTTTTTTATTAATAAATGGTTTGGAGAATTATGCAAATTATTACACTTTTCTCAGATTTGGGAGATTTTTGTTAAAGCTAATAGCTATTCATGGAGGAACTTGGGATATATACCATGTTTGTTGACTTTAAAATTGTGGCTATGGTATCTTTAAACTAGCCATTTTAACAGATATTTCTGGTGACCCTGTTTATACATCTGAGTGGGTCCTAACATTTTTCAACTCCATTTTAGTACTATTTGAGAATAGAAGGTCTACTTGTGTTTCTTTAATTTAAACTAAATTGAGAAAAATTTAGTCATAATCGAGCCATTAGCCAGACACTTTTCTCTTTACCCCATGTGCTGTCTTTATCTTAAAAATTCCCACCCTTAACCAATTATTTTTAGCTAATATAAAAGGCACTGTCTTAAATTCTTATAAAGTCTTCAGGAAATATATTTTTGAGTGTTCTTAGTTCTTAGCAGAATATCCAATATGAAATTGATAGTGAAAAAATTCATTACAGCAACATGGAGTATCAGATCTAATTCACTTCTTCTCTCTCTTTCATACTCTACTAATAAGGTGCCAATTCTTGTGCCTTATATGGCTTGATGTTACTTCTTTGGTATTCCTACTTTAGTAAGTAATCAGGTAATATTGTCATCGGATACTCCAGGCACTCTTCACTGGAAATATAGGGAGAAGTAAACAAGCAGGGATAGTAAATCAATTCATACATGAACACAAATCTATGGGAACGTTACAAATACAGAATATTCTAAATTTTGGTCCTCCTTGGGGTATAGTACTCCTGTCTCTGTAACTGCATTTTCAGCACCATATTTTGTACATTGCAGCCTGTGGAGTCATTCTCTTGCTTCAAGGATTGCTGCAAGCATCTCTGAACAACCTCCAAGAATTTTACATATTTGTAGATGGTTGTCCCTTCCAAGATAGGAGCACCCTGTGCCTTTGATTCCCCAAAGCATGTCAATTAAACCCTTAAGCATAGATCTAGAAACATGTGTTTACAAAAGTATATTAACTATTGAGATATAATTTATTCCATGATAAAAATAATATATAACATCTTCTAGTTAATATCTAGAAGTGGACCAGAAGATTCCTAGACTGTTTAAAACAACAAAAACAAAAAAAATCACAGCAGATTTAGAAAGGACATAGCAATATCACAGTATCATAGCCATATCTTAATTGTTCTCTGGATCCAGAATTGTTAGTCCAAATTTTTACACCTACTAGGGAAAAAAATTAACTGTTACAAATACAACAACCTGCTTAATGTTTTTGACTGGGATTATGTTACAGTTTCCTTGATACAGTTAGTAAATTTGTGAAGTTTACTTAAAATTAACTTTGATTTACATGTAAAAACATGATTAATATGTTTTCAGAGTCTAAACTGACTCAAAAAGGCCAAATGATTTAGTCCATTTAAAGCAGAAATTATTAAAAAAGGAATAACTGAAATCTTTTGTTTAAAGTTGCATAGGCAAAATGGAGGTTTTTGCGTAGACAAAAGTAATTCACTGAGCCTTGTACATCTCAGATGATTTTATTCGGGTCCCTGTGTGCCTAAGCTAGGAAGTGTGCCTCAACACTGAAGAGAAGCTGGGCTGATGTTCTACAGAAATGGCTTTTTCAAAAATTGAGTTAATTCACTTGTTTGGTATTAACCAGACATGAGTATGACTCCTTATTTGGATAACTCCTGAACTGTAGTCCCGTATACCAATAACAACCACTCTCAGAGTTAACCTCTTTTCATCCTGGTTTCCAACAGTGGCATTATTGAGGGTTTCACTGTAATTCCAAGAAGCATTAGTGTGGAACATATTAAAACAACTGAATTGTTAAAACAGTTATCATTTCCTGTAATCAAGATATTAAGAGGAATTAAGCAAATTTCAACTTAATAGGAGAAAAGCCATAGAATTAGTATCCAAAAGTAAAAAAACATCTATCAAGCCTTATTCATAGTTCAAGTCAGGGTTTTTCAAAGCCTTCTCGGGTTGAAATGGAAGTGCATAATTTTCGGTGCCCCTTTTCTCTCGCCCAAGGAGAAGGCGTGACTGGCGACTTTCCTCCAGCCCCGTGTTACTCTTGACCGTGGTTACTTGCCTCTGCAGTACAGTTTCAACCTCCAGCAATAGGGCACCCTCTCCAGATACACCTCGCCCACCTTTCATTCCTTCTGCTCCCCTTAAGGATGAAGTAGTTTCTTATTTTAAAAATTGAAAGTATCTGGAGTGTTTTGTAAATTTAAAAACAAAATTACCCTGTCATTAGTCTCATAAAACTCAATTAGGCGAATTAAAACAATCAATTTAAAAAAGGTTTGTCCTCATTTTTTCGTTTTTTAGATTTGTGTTATTTTGAATAATGATTTAAGTACTATAAACTAGGGATTTTTAAATATTTTTAACTCAAAGATTGTAGGCGGTTTAAAGAAAGTCTAAGTTAGTATGCTGTAGGTATATTTTCTACAGACAAACATGCTTTAAATCGTTTTGTTCACCACCCTCACTGATTTAATCCCATTTAAAGTTATTGCATTCTAAATTGTCACTTGCCCGGGAAATTTTACATACAAGGGTTCTGAAAGTATCAACTATTTGGAGCAAAAATATAATCAATATTTGCTATTTTCTTTAAGTTAATTTGTGAAGGAAATGCTTCTGTCCTTTCTTTTATTAATTACTGTGAAATTTCATGGCACGGTTGAATAGTAGAAAAGACGGTCATTTCGTTAGAAAAAAAAATTAAAGAAACAAATTAAGTTGTACATGTGTGTGAAAAATAAAATATCTCTTCCAAAATTAGATGTATTTAAAAACTTTGATTATTTTGTAAGGCTTTGGATGGGGGTTGTAGGCTTTACCAAATGAATTAAACTAGTTAAGAAAAACACAATTCAGGGTGACTAACATGATAGTTTTTTTTTTTTTTAAGTCAAATACATCAACATAGTACCCTCTCGTAGATGTAGTTCACGAGAGCTGTAGATTTTGTAAGAAAAAACCTTAACCCCCACCACACACACAGTTTATATTTTTTTGGTATCACTAAGTTCCAAAAAGAGTAAGTACTATGGAATTTGAGATACATCTGATCTATCAACTTTTCAGTTTCTCTAGGTTTTACCACATCTCTAGGAGAATTTTCAGAGCTGCTGCCAGAAAGTGACTGCAGTTTATCTTCTATATACCACCTAGCTTTCTTTAAGAAAAGAATTGTTGAGTTTGTGTTATATCAAAGGCCAAAAACTACTGAGGTTTTTCATTAGCTTTTATTAACTGTTTTTATTTACTGTTTGGTTAAACAGCATATGAAACATGTAAATTTTCTTAAAACTCTACCAAAAATTATCATTGTCTAACTTCACGTACAGAGATGATCCAGTTCAACTTAAAGGGAATTGTTTTTTTTCTAATTTTCTTTTTATTCTAAACTTTGAACTTAGTATGTAACATTTCACTATTTATTTATGTATTACTTTATATTTTATTCACATCTATCTTTGGGGGTTTAATAATGTTATCAGTTTGATGCTATTTGACAATTTTACTGCTTCGTGACCTACATGTTTTATGTTTGATATTTGTGGCAGCCAGTTGATAGGAATAGACCGAATTGATAATTGAGGTTTAAACAATTTTATAGCAACCTTGGTAATAGAGAGAAGAGAGAGAAAAGATTCCTGTCAAACAAATAATTTTCACAAAATAAAGAGAATGTATAGGAAATGTCAAGATGAATAATTTTCTTAGAATTTTCCCTAATATTTTAGGAAATTTTGCTGAAGGTTTTACTATTAGTGACCAGGAGAATCGAAAGACCTGGCCTATATCTATTAATCTGGTGGCAATTCACTTGATATACCTCTTTTGTCCCCTTTTCCTAATCAGCCAAATGAGGGAGTTAAACTCAAGTTCCCTCTCAACTCAAAATTCCTCTGAATTTTAAAAAGATATTATGATAAAATAAAGAGAATAAGATTTTATAGTCAGAAATGCCCAGTGTAGTTCTCAGCTCAAGTACTTACTAGTTCTGTGACTATAATCAGATATTTTGTCATATGAACCTCAATTTATTCATTTTAAAATTGAAATGAATAATACCTGATATTAGTGTCATTGTGAAGACCGAGATAGTGTATAGAAAGCAACCAGGAAAGCAGGAAAGTGATGGCCCCTGGTTCAACCACTGGTAAACACTGTAATTATTTTTTTAAGTCCATGGAAGGAATCTTTCCAAATTTATATGATGAGGAGAAAAGGCCACTCAGCCTAATGTTTGACACTTTGGGGCTGTATTGGCCAAGCAAATTCTAGGAAGGTTAATGTTTAAAATACGGGCGAGGGAGATGAACTGTCTTAGCACAGAGAACTGGCTTAACAGTGGATGGCAAATCAGTCCCTTGCACATAACCTACTTGATTTTTCCCGCTTCTCCTCCTTCTGCAGGTGAACGCCCCTTCCACTGTAACCAGTGCGGAGCTTCTTTTACTCAGAAGGGCAACCTTCTGAGACACATAAAGTTACACTCTGGAGAGAAGCCGTTCAAATGTCCTTTCTGTAGCTACGCTTGTAGAAGAAGGGACGCCCTCACAGGACACCTCAGGACCCACTCAGGTAAGGGATGCCAACTCTTTGAGAATAAAGCTAAAATACGAAAATATGGAATACTTAGAATTAGAACAAAGCTAAGTAACTTATAGCATTGGTTTGTAGCCAGGAAAGACCCAGACACTATTTTATTAAAGTGTCTGGTGTACAATAACCGATGAAGTACTCGATCATACTTCATATGCAGGAAGTATATGATCCTCTTTTAGTCGTATGGACTTAGCAAAGGGGAGCACTGTCAACTGCAGAGTTTCAAGATATTAGAATAAGAAAAATAGTTGTGATATAAATTTACATTTTTAAATTTTACAATTAATAATACAGCAATTATGATTAATCTAGGATAATTGAAGATCCAGTGAAATATTATAATGACATTCTGAATTTACTGTAGAGGAGATGAAAACTGTTTTTTTGTTTTTTTCCCTTTGTTTTTTGACTGATGTAGTGTTTAGACTGGGACCTCAGTGAGAAAATCAGTATTATTACTTTTGAACTTGAAGATAGTACACTCATGAGAAAAGTGACTGTTAGAATATTTTATACTCTGGTTTAATTCTCTTTGTATCTTTAGTTCTTAACATAGCCATTGGGCACTATCTGAAACTTGTCTTCACTTCATAATCATTCAAAAATCTAGAATAAGTTTGGTTTTGTAAAACAAATGAAAGTAATAGTGCATAAAAGAGAAAGAATGATCGGAAATCTGAAATAATCTCATTTGACTTTTATGTGAATTGCCATAAACAAAAAGTTAAAGGTGGAAAATTATAGATAATACTTTCAAGCCAGTTTTATTTGCTGCTTCTGCTCATAGTGATGTACTAAATTTTAACTTAATATGAAGTCATGGTGGAAGTAATATTTTCACCTGCGCATTGACAAATTGCATTAGAGACTACTGAAGTTGTAAGGTAATTCTTATGCTTTCTTTGCATTTTTCCTGTTAATCTTTAAGGCCTTAACCTTTCTTTTGAGGCAGAGTCTCCCTATGTCACCCTCCATAGAGTGCTGTGGCATCACAGCTCACAGCAGCCTCAAACTCTTTTGGGCTTAAGCGATTCTCCTGGGTCAGCCTCCCAAGTAGCTGGGACTACAGGCACCTGCCACAACGCCCGGCTATTTTTTGGCTGTAGTTGTCATTGCTGTTTGGCAGGCTTGGGCTGGGCTCAAACCCGCCCGCCACCTCCAGTGTATATGGCTGGCACCCTGGCTGCTTAAGCTACAAGCACCGAGCCTAGGCCTTAACTTTTTAACTTGAATGTGAATTGTGTGTATCTACTTTAAATATTAACTCTTACATTTGGAGTAGTTACACAAATGAACATAAAACATATATTTTTCTTTCCTCCCTGACTTAAAATAATTCACTCATTTTCAACTATAAAATTTTGTTTTATTTGAAAGTTATGCTATGAAAGTTATGTCTTGAAGTGGTATTTTATTATGTAAAATATTCTTTATTGAGATACATTTTTGAGACACGACAGGCATTTCCTTTACCTGGCTACCCACTAGCTTATTAAAGTATTATTGAGTTATCTCAGGATTATATAACACACATATGTTCATGAATGTATATTTTTGCCTGAACTATATACAGTAAGAAACTTAAAACATCTCTTTCATCCATTTCAAAATTGTGTTGCTTTTGATATCATGGTTTGTGTAAACATATTACTTTATCTTCATTAAAAAAAAAATGGTGCTTATACCTGTTTTGTGCTGATTTTGCTATTTAGTTTACCTTGTCATGATTTTTGCAGATGTATAAACAGATAACAGTCAAATTGAGTAATTAAAGAAGATTTAATAGAGGCTTGGCACCCATAGCACAGTGGTTATGGCACCAGCCACATGCACCGAGGCTGGCGGGTTTGAACCCAGCCCGGGCCAGCTAAACAACAATGACAAGTGCAACAACAACAACAAAAAAATTTAACAGTGTCTAGTAGGGAAGGGACATCCAGCTATTGCATCATGCAAAGGTCTTATCAATTCATTCCTACTGCCAACTAGAATCTAAACTATTACCTGTAACTTATGTTCTTCATAATGGGCAGAACATAAAACAGAGCTGGTAAGTCCATGCTTCTCTAATTGGTCAGAAAGCTCAAAAACGATCATTATAGCTTTCTTCATCCACTCAATTCCATTTTACCTTACTCTTACCCTGTCTAGAACCTGGGCTAGATTAGGTTTTTCATTAATTAATTAAGTTTTAACTTAGTTCCTATAAGTTCTGAGCCTTTGATATTCCTCTCTTTCTTAAATCATTACATTTATTGAGTAACTAAAATTATAGCACAGGTATTTTTAAAGAGATGCCCCATCAAATCTCCTTAGTTCAAAACATAACATAGTTCTCCTTGACCCCATCATATAGCAGCACCCCCTAATCACCTTGGTAGTATGGCAACATTACCAGCCAGTAATGTTAGCAGCTTCCAGCCTAATGTTAGCAGCTTGAGATACATAAAATAGCCAGTGAATATTCCTGGTTTTCAGACCCAAAATTCTGACCCCTGCTGAAAACATTCTTCCTTTGGTATTAGAGATTTCCAAAACCATCAATCTAAAGTTTTCAGGACAGAGTCAAGATCCTTTGATGTACTAACATGGCCACTTCTATCATAACCTCTTTGTTCCCATACTTACGCATTCCTGCTATGGAGGAGACAACTTTGGCCACATATTATTTTCCTATAGAGCACACCCAACCTTCGCCCAACAGGCAACCATACATAAACCACTCCCTTGGGAGGCCTTTTCACCAGTCCATTTAGCCAGCTGAGTCTGGCGTGAGGTATGACCAGTGAATTCTATACAGTTGTGCCAGTTGTATTTTCTTTGCTATTGAGATAAATATCCTGGTTGAAGGCACTATTGTAAGAATACCCTGGTAATTGGTAAGGCATTCTGTTAAACCCATACAAGAAGGAGTTTGCAATAGTATTAAAGGAGAAGAGAAGACATATTCATATCCTGGAAATCTGTTGATTCCTATTAGGAAAATTTCCGTCTCCTGTATGAGGGAAGCAGTCAAATATATCCTGCCTGCCACCACCTGATTGGCACATGATTGGTTGATCTTCCTGGAGAATGGTGCCATATCAGGCAGAGCCTTGGCACTGCACATTGTGAGCCTGGCAGTGGTAAGAGTTGAATCCGTCATGGAAGGGAGGAAGTCCATGCACTTCAATCCATACACAGTTTTCTTCCCTGCTCCCATTATCACTTTGTACATTGGTCCATTAAGCAAGTTCCAGGTTAGGCAATGATAGAATCTGATGATATCCTAAAGATCCAGAACCTTGTCCAGATGACTAAGAGCCTTGTCTACAGTGGATGCCCACTGGAAGTAATTCACAAAGCATACCGTGGCTTTGACCATACATTCCTGCCATGCATCATTACCTCAGTCGTCTCTTCTTTCCTGCAAAGTGGACAGTCAAGTGTACTAGCTGAAATTCTGGCTATTGTAGGGATATCTTTTTACCACTGTCTCAGGGTCAGCCTCATTAAGTGGACCTGTAAACACAGTAGTCATAGCTGGTACCAAACCCCATGTAACCCATTTATAAACTAGATCCACAAGGTTTCAACCTCCATTACTTCGTCATTGAGTACACTCATGAAGGCAAAGGTCAAAGTTGAAGGGAACAGACTGTGAAACAGAAGTAGCGATCTCAGGGACGTCTCAGCTTACTTGCTCATGTAGTATATTTAGGCTTTCCCAACCTACTTGATCCCAGTTTCATTTAACAATGAAATGTCACTGTACATTTATTACTTTATGAAATGTTTAATCAGATAACACCAAGTTCATTATATACACTTCGGGCCAGTAGTCATTTGGAGTCCTGTGGCCTAGTACTCGGTTTTGACTATAACCCAATAGCAAATGAAGAGCAACTTTTCAATTGGAGCATAGTTATCTGTATATCTTTCTTACAAAACCATTAGGGATCCATGTACTGAGGTTTCCATTGACAAGAGATGTTATACGGCCTCTCTGTTTCCCACAGACATTACTAGAAGTCACTATAGCTGCTAGATCTTAGAATTAAAGGAATAGGGCACCTTTCATCATGGCAGGGGTATGCTGTAGTTCCTTATCTTGCCCCAAGCTCCTCTTGAAACAGACAGAGTTGTAAATTACCTAGCAGGAGAGCAGCTGCAAACGTGGTCTGTGTTGCTTCCCAAAGCTAAAGAAGCCACCTCTATTGTGCCTCGTTCCTCATGATGGAAGGTGTAAGGTTCAACAATTTATCATTTATAATAGAGGATCTATTTCAGCATGCTCAGACTATTGGACACAAAATTTCATCAATGTTGAAAGTTCCTGAGTCCTTGAACTTTCTTAGACTCTATCTCCCATTCTCGAGCATGTATCTGACTACCACGTCCTGCTCACCAAGTCCTGTCAGTGCAGTGTCATGAATGTAATATTCCACCTTGGAGTTTTGTGGGATGTCAAGATGAACAAGATTTCTCCAGACTGTAATAACAGAGAGGAGAGTTGACGTAGCCTTAAGGTAAGATAGTGAAAGTATGCTGTGCCTGCAATGTAAAGGCAAACTGCTTCTGATTATCTGTGTTGATAGGAATTACTGTGGACTTTAAAAGGAAATCAAGTCTGTAGCTTCATACCTGGTGTCAGGGGCTATGTAGATATACTCCAGTAAAGAGTCTGTAACTAGAACTGCATCTGCAGTTTTCATTATTATGTTATCAAGTATGTATTTATGTGTAGGACAATCTAGGATATGCATTCCTGACAGTTTAAATGGGCATGCAGTATGAATTTACCACCCCAACATCTTTCAGTTTTCTGATCGTCTCACTATTAGTTGTAACTCACCCAGATATGCATTATTTCTTTCAGTTGGTTGTGTTGGAAGGGGTGGTAGTTGTAGGGATATGCTGTCCAATATGATAGCCACTGGCCACACGTAGCTGTTACACACATAAACATGGCAAGTGCCACATGCTGAAATACTTTT